AGACTGGCTGACATACCAGAGATACTGATATGCTCCCTGAAAACTGATGGTGTGGATTACCAGTGATGACTCATTCACACGTACTGTAAACAGCTATTTCTTCACTCTAAATCTAGTGGGTCAGCCAGCCAGCTGTCAGCCAATCAGGACTCCTCCCTCCACAGAACAGAAAAAACCCCGAGGAGGCTTCAACACTGCAAGCACGCTCATGCAAAGCCTTCAAACCGAGCCGAGAAGCAGCATGAAAACAATGAGAAGCTTTTTCCTCTGCGCGCTGGCCTTCCTGTCAGCAGCTCAGGCTGTGAGGACAATTATTTTTTATCTGTTTTTATTTTTTTATTAACTCCAATTTTATGTTAGTCTTCTTTCACGAGGCTTTATTTAACTTTTTAACATGTTTTCAGGGCCTGCTGGATGACAGGAGAAGGCGTGAGTTAGCTTTTTCCTCCCACTCCTCCTCTTCCTCGTCCTCTCAGGGTTCAGGTGAGACGCTTTTATTCATCGCACAAAACGTGTAATTTACTTTGGCAGCAAATAAGCAAAGCTGTATTTAGACAGCACACTTCATTCCAGGTGGAAGCGCAAAGTGCTGCTCCTATAATTACCTACAATACTGTGCAAAAGTCTTGAGCCACCTGTATTTGTTTATATTTTGCCAGCTTGAAAGTCAATATTTGATGTGACTTCTTGTTTTCCTCAGCACAGCCTGAACTGAATTGGCTCTCCAAGGTTAATGTAGGAGATTTGTGTGGCTGTTGGCTGCTGTCTGTTTCATGATCCCACACTGGTTCAGTAATGTTGCATTCTGGGCTCTGTGGGAGGCCAATCCATGACTGTATGACAGGAAGAATAAGAATGTAGGTCAGGGGCTTAAGGGGCTTAACGAACAACAGCATTTATCTGATAATTGTCAGCTACAAAGACTGGACTGAAAACAAATGAAACAGTAGCTTTAAAATAATTAACAAAAGCAATCACTGAGCAAAAAAACAAACGAACTAAAACAAATAAAATCACGCAGCAGCAGAAATAAAATGATCATTTGACCCATAAATAGAGTGCTGAAAGGTGAGTCACCTAATGTGAGTCACCAGGTCGTTCCTGTGGTTTGGAGCATACAGCTTCACCTGTACTCACCTGGGAATAACCAGACAGGCTGTTCCAGATTACTTGTGGCTGGTTCACTGCTTACTCACGTATCAGAGAGAGAGTGCGTGACCTGGATGTTACTGAGTCAGGTTAGGGTTAGGGTCCAGCCCAGGGTTACTAATGCTGGGCTGGACTCCCGTTT